GACTGCTCCGCACGAAGCATTGACTCTCGTGACTGTCTTTTTTTTTTTTTTTAACATCTCCAGTTTATTCAGTGGAAGGCAGAAAGGTGCCAAATATATTAAAAAAACCACTAAACCAACCTTTTCTTTTGGCATGGGGGAGGGGAGGCTGTGGGCGGAAGGAGGAGGAGGAGGAGGAGGGAGACTAGGGCTGTGCCATGGGCTAATAGGGCTAAGTGGTTTCTCTAACATGCTTCATTCAGATCCTTTCCCTCAAGCCCACCTCTCAGCTTCTCGTCGGCTTGTGAAAAAGAATATCATTCACTCTGATTTTGGAAAATGACTTCATTCCTCAGACTCATGAACTTTTATTTACAAAGAGCATCTTGTATTCCTTTTTCAAGAGATGCTTTGTGAGGCCCTGGTAACAAGGCTTGCAGTGTGTGTATGAAAGCGAGCTGAATATATTGCCCACAGCTGACTTAATTTTATGACTACAATTTCAAAAAGACAACGCTGTAACCCTTGCTAGGTTTTGGGACAAAGTCAGGGTATAATTATGCTAATGTCCACCATTCCAGCCAAGGGGTCAGCACCCCGTCCCTCAGCTGTTCTGCATCCAGGGGTTTGTAATACCATTGGCCTGCCAGGCTTCATTCTTAAATCTTAACAGAAATTGGCTTATCAGGCTTCATTCTAGGAGTGGACTTCTTTCTCCCTCTCTCCCCCTTTTCCTATTTGACTGAAGATATTATGAACCAAGGAAGCAGGCAATAGAGACTTATGGGTAAGATAAAGTGTTTTGGCGATCTGTTAACTTCTACACACGGGTAGGCAGAGTGTTGGGCCCATAAATACTGTACAGATGTCATATAGGGACTATACAGAAGTTAATGACCAAGAAACTCTGCCTGATTCAGAAATGGTGTAGCTGAGCAGGCAAGGCCACTCAAGCTTGTGGGACAAAGTCTTAAACTGGCAGAGAAGAAAAGGCTGTGTGACCCAAGGCTTTGAGGTTCAGAAGCATGGTTTCTAGGAGGAAATAAAAGATGGCAATGGTGGTTGCAGGTAATTCTGTCCTGAGAGCAATGGAAACATCTCTCCATTACCTGGACCTGATATCGTGGCAAGCACACTGCCTCCCAGGAGCCTGAGGGTGAGATGTTATTGAGGGCTGCCAGGACTTTTCTATCTCTTTCTGCTAATGGCAGTCCTGGGAATGGCCTGGAGCAAGGTCCCTTTCAACCCAAACCATTCTATGATTCTATGATTCTATGAAGGCTCAGGGAGAAAAAGACCAGGGAGGCCCCAGGCAGGGACATCACGAGGTTCCCATTAGGCCTTCTGTTACAGGGACAAGTTTGAGGTGTAAATACAACATTAAAGCAGGGGCAAGAAAGAGAATAAAACAGCCTGACAGTGACAGAATCACCACACCTGTGGTGGCTTTTAACTACCTGGTGAAGCAAATTTCTGGAATATGTGAGAGTCAATTTTTTGGATACTTTTTCTTTTTTTTCGAAAAAGCAACCACCAGAGAGTCTTCTACATATGTTCCCAGGCATTAGGGAGGAACTATTGACAAAATGACAGAGAAAGGTGACTTAGGATCATAGAATGGTTTGGGTTGGAAGGGACCTCAAAGATCATCTAGTTCCAACCCCCCCTGCTGTGGGCAGGGACACCCTCCACTAGACCACATTGCCCAAAGCCCCATCCAACCTGGCCTTGAACACTTCCAGGGATGGGGCAGCCACAACCTCTTTGGGCAACCTGTTCCAGTTTCTCAACTTGGAGAACAGTTACTTAAGGTTCATAAACCTTTAGATGGGAAGAACAGGAAAATCAAATCTGCATATTTCTGGAAGTCAGTCTTCAACAAATTCAGAGACAAGGGAGGAAAGTTCTCTTGCCTAATAGAAAAAGGAGTTGAAGAAAGTAGGTGGTCTGTAAAGAAATGACATGAACCAGAAAGACAGAAAAGACAAGAAGATTTGGCCAAACTATGAGGTGTTTCTGGACCTGAAGCTCAAGAAAGAAACATGTGGGAAGTGAAAACTGAGACTACATCTGAGCACAGGAAGAACATATCAAGATGAAAGCTGAAAGGTAGAGGCAGAAAATGAGATGTAATTTTAAAGACAATAGGTGTGAGAGGAAGACTTGGGAGATCCTTGGTTCAATATCCATCAAAGACAGAAAGTTATCAAAGGATAAATCTGAGACATGAAATTGTTTAAGGTGGAGGACTGTCTTAATTGGCTTCTTGAGGGTTTTCCTAGCTCTGTTTTCCTAGGAAGTCATTAGCTGTTATGGTTTTGGCTCTGGAGAACAAGACTTGTAATTATAGTGGAACAAAAATAAGGTGTAGCACTGTTTGTCTACAAGTGATTGTGCCTTCCTTATTTTTTTCCCCTGCATTGCAACAATGAAGAAAACAATTCCTTCCAGAACATTTTGGGAGAATTTCAGTAAATAAAATTTCAGAATAGAAGACTTTTTAAAAGAGCTCCTTTCAAAAAGGTAATTTGCAGAGCATATAAGGTTTCTTTGTGTCTTTTCATCTGCCTAGTTTTATAGTTTGGGAACAGTTCAGGACTGGAGTATGTCACAAAATGTATCAGTATGTAAGAGGTATTTGAGACCAGTGCTAGGTACTAGTCATTATGTTGAGTGATTTGTAGTTTTGACAATTTAATTAATTCAAGGAATTAAAATTAATTGAATTATTAAACCCTGAACATTTAATTGATTTTTTTCAAAGTAGTTTTATTGCAGGGATGCTGAAAGGAAGTTGAACAGTGTATTCATATGTACTTAATTTAGGTCAAGATCTTGCAATCTTGTATATAAATCACATAATGACTTTGAAGAGTTCAGGGCTTATGTACTTAAATAATTGGGCTTACCTAAATAGTTGTATTGGGAATGAATAGCAGGGTTTAGAGGGCAGCAGCTGCAGGGTGCCCTGGTCCAGCTAGCTTGTGAACGCAGGATACAGCCCACATTGCCCCAAAATATGGCTTCTCTGTTCAAACAGATGCTAAAAAGGGCAGTAGCTGCTGGGGCAGGAGATACTGAAGGAGACACGTGAGGGTGCAATGAGGACACACAAAATAAAAGTTATGAGGAAAAATGTGAAGAGATACATTTGGAGAAATGAAATGGAGGAGATGTGGTAGAGGACGTTGCTGGGGAGATCGCTAGTGATGCAGTCTTGGAAGGACACACCTGGTGCTGGGTAGGGTGCCCACCTGAGGGTGACCCACACCAGGGCAGGGACTCCCTGAGTGCAGCCTGTGTGTGACCCATGCAGGTCAGAGACACCATTGAGGGTGTAGATTAGGAAGGTTCTAGGAAGGTGTTGGACAGAAGTTGAGCCTGTGGAGAGGGAAGGAAGGTATTTCTCTGTTTATTTAATAATTTATTTTCTTCCTCTTTTCTCAATACCTAAATGAGTAATGAAACATTTCTGTTTATATATTTCCAATAAATTAAATTATGTGAAATGCACTGTGTCAAGACTGTTTTGTCTGTGACAGTAGTGAATATGGAAGTGTTGAGAATGATGTGCTGAAGGAGATATATTCAACCAGAGCAACTGTGAACTTCATGAGCCTTGCTCAGTGCAGCAAACTGACCATCTGCATCCTTGTGCATTCCATTGAGGGACTTATTCAAGTATCCATCTGCTTTACCAGAGCAAGAAATACCATTAGAAATATCATTAAGGATGCTTAGATTACGATTTATTCAAGTAAAGCCTGATTTTTATTGCACATATATAGCAGTTAACAAAATGAACCTCAGTGTATGATGAAGGTGTCCCACCTAGTAGTAATTAATAATGCAAAAACCCTGAAACACATTTTCAGAAAACAGAAAATACCATTCTTGAAATGGGCAAAAGTTATCAAGTGAAAATGACCTTGTTACCCATCACATGTCTTTATGTAAAATTGGAACAAAGATATTCATATCCCTGTAAAAGAGTTCACAGTTCTAATTTACAGCATTTTGAGATAGGTAAGATTGTAATTATTCTCAAGATCAAAGTCTTAAAAGGAGGAAGATGTCTGTTTAACATCTTTGGAAAATCAGATCCTTTAAAAAATCTCACACTGGCCCAAGGCATTAAAAATGTGGAAAATCTCATGTTATGAATCTATATAGGGAAGGAAATACAGATAACTTCAAATGGTACAATTATTAAATAATAAATAATTTATTCTTATGAAATACAAGAAATCAAGCAAGACATGGTCCATCACAGTTCACAAGATCTAAATCTCTCCACAAATATATGCTAGTCCCATACAAAAAAAATTATAACCAGCATCTTTTGAGCAGAAAATATTATACATTTATTAATTTTCCTAACTATTGCTATACAGTGGAGTACCTTGCTAAACAACAACTGCTTACAAAAGCTGTTTCCTGCATTTAATTTTAAATCTTTTAAAACATTGTATTTCTTTTGAAAAACCGCAGATTTGTGTAGAAATTGAGAAAAAATAAAATGGGACATAGGGTGCTTATAAAAATACAAGCCTCTGAATGTAAATT